CTCAGAACTCAAACTTTTCTGAAGCTCACAGCCATGTCTCTTCAGCATTAATGGCAGAAGCTATTGCTGTTCATAGGGCGGTGTCCCTTGCGGTCTACTCAAACATCCGATCCTTGGCAGTTCTATCAGATTCCCTATGCCTTATCAATCTTCTGAAGAAGGGTGGGACTCAACCGGAACTGTTCGGTATCATTTTGATATCTATCACTTCATCTCTTTCTTTGATGTAATTTCCTTTGATTTTATCCCTAGAAAATTCAATGGAGAAGCTGATTCTGTGGCAAAATCAGCTTTATCTATGTTTGTAATGAACTCCAACCTTGGAGGTTAAACTCTGTCCGTTTAATGCAATGTTTGTTTGTTCAAAAAAAAAAGGGTGTGGGGTCAACTGACACCACAAAAATCCTATAAATTTCAGTTTATAGGCAATTGTTTATTAATGAACTGTAGTGCAGTGGTAGAAAAATGAGTTGTTGAACCCATAGATAAAGGGTTCAATTCCACCCTCTGACTCTTTATTTTGCTATTTTAAAAATTTACACAGTTAATAACCCACAAATATTTCTGGCTGGGCCCGCCACTGATTTCATGCAAATATATTTTTATATACTCCCTCTGTTTTTAATTATAAGTAGCTTTAGAAAAATACTTTTGTTGTTTTCACATTTCAATGCACTTTTTGTATATATTGAATATTCTGTACCCAATAAAATAATGCATGCATTTTTATGTTTGGTTGGATTTATACAGAAAATACTACTTTTTTAAAATTAATAAGCTTCTTAATGTTGATGCTTTTATGTAAAACACTTTACATTTAAAAACAGAAGGAGTATATATTTTTTATTTTGACAACGATAGGCTGATCTATTACTCAAGCTTAAGTGGTATGGGAATCCAGACCGGAATAGAATAACCAACAAACAACAGAGTACGGTAAAAAGAACGAGCAGCCTTAGCTAACGAATCAGCCACAGTGTTTTGAGACCGAGGAACATAGAAGATCTTAAATTCCGGGAAGCAAACACGCAGCGTCAAGAGTCTCTCCAATTCCGTCGAGAAGCTAGGCCAATCATGGGGGTTCCTGAGCATCGCTATCAATTCCTTGCAATCCGTCCCAAAGCTCTGACATGGCGAATGTTGAAGCATGTTCTCCATTGCCCACCGCAGTGCTTCCAGCTCAGAGTGCAAAGCCGACTCTACCCTACTCACATTTCGCATACCCATTAACTGGCTATTCCCTCTTCTATCCGTCCAGTTCCAGCCACATCCTGAGAATTGATTCGTAGAGGTCCATGAACCGTCTATCAAGCAGAGATCTCCTAGGCTTATGACCTGATCCTCTGGCCCTGTGTTCCCTTGCGTTATCACCATTTCCTGCTCATTAGCTTGAAACCAGGCAAGGCACTCACTTTCTGCATACCTGGCTAATTCCAGAGGATCCCTATCAATTCCTCGGAACAGTTTATTGTTCCGAGCCTTCCAGGTGTACCATATTAGCCACGGATAGGGGTCCCTATCTAACTCTGGTTCCATTATGTCCTTCTTCCTCCAGAATAGATAGTCCATGTTCGCGTATGTGCTCTGCAAAGGAAATAAGGTTTAACTAGTGGGAATGGATGATAATGCCCAGACCTATAAGGCGGGTGGACATTGAAAGATTGCATGTGCAATTGTTTCATTCCGTTCTCCACATCGCGGGCAAAAGTTATCACATCGCATGTGCCTATGATTTAAAACATCGGTAACCGCCACATGGCCTGTTATGATCTGCCACATAAGATGACACATCTTCTGAGGTGCTTTAGCTTCCCAGACATGTGCTTGGAGCTTTGTAATGCTAGGTTCACACACTATGTTGTCTTCCTTCTTCAGCAGTATGTTACGCGCCACCCAGTAGCCAGACTTGACTGTATATTGTCCACTCCTTGTATAGTTCTAGCAATACGTATCTCTACGATGTGTTGTACTAATAGCCATACTCCTTATGAGAGGTATGTCAGTTGCATCAACATAATTTGCCAACCTCTCCAAATCCCATGACTTTGTTTCCTGATTAATGAGATCACTCACTCTCATGTTCGGATGCAACACTAGAGCAGATGGAAACGCTGGTCGCGCTGGAGCTGTGGGGATCCATGGGTCCTCCCATACTTTCACTTCATAGCCTGAGTGGATTTTCTGTCGAACCCCTAGCAACAACAACTCTCGTGCCGACGAGATGCTTGTCCACACGTACGATATGCTGCTGACATTGAGATTTCGCAAAGGCGAGCTCAATCGATAATACCTACCCCTCATAACACGAGCTACCAGGGAATCTGGATTTTGAGCCAATCTCCACAACTGCTTTGCCAACAAAGCCAGGTTAAACTCATGAATCATCCTGAAGCCAATCCCCCCTTCCTCTTTGGATAAGCATAGTTTGTCCCATGTTGACCAATGTATGCCTTTTTCGGTGGGTTGGAACTCCACCAGAACCGTGCAATGGCACTAGCCAAAGCATCACATATCTCCAAAGGGAGTAAGAAGCAGGACATTACATAGGTCGAGAGAGCGAGCAGGATTGACTTTATCATTACTTCCTTTCCACCTTTAGAGAGCCACCTACCCGTCCACCCATTCACTCTATTCCTAAGCTTGTCCTTTAGGAGGGCAAAGAGCTTGCATTTCGAACCGCTTATATCCTCTGGAATCCCTAAATAAGTACCCATTCCTGGTTCATTTTGGATCCCAAGAGTATCTTTAATTTCTTGCCTGACCTCATGTCCGAGTCTCTTACCAAAGAGTAGAGAGGACTTATCGAAGTTGATACATTGTCCAGAAGCATGTCCATATCTCCTGACCACTTTCATTACTTCTTCACACTCACGGGGCTCCGCCTTGCAAAAGAAAAGGCTATCATCAGCAAAAAGTAGGTGAGATACCGAAGGACACGCACGCGTAATGCGCATCCCAGTTATCTTGCCCTGACTCTCAGCGTGATTAAGAAGGCTAACGAGCGCTTCCGTGCATAGAATAAAAATGAAAGGGGACAGAGGATTCCCCTGCCGTAGACCTCTCTGTGGAACAATATTCCCTCTTGGCTGTCCATTCATGAGGACCTTGTACTTTACCGATGTTACACATCGCATGATCCAGCTTATCTAGACTTCTGAAAATCCCATCTTCCGCATGGTGGCCTTAATGAATGACCATTCCATCCGATCATACGCCTTGCTCATATCTGTTTTAATAGCCATCCTCTTATTGCGTCCACTCGGTTTCGTTCTTAAAGCATGGAACATCTCCTGAGCTATCATGATCTTGTTGGAAATCTTACGTCCTGCAACAAAAGCCGACTGGGTTTCCGAAATCCTGTCTGGTAGGACCTTTTTCAATCTCTGGCATAAGACCTTAGAGATAATTTTGTAACAAACATTGCATAGGCTAATCGGCCGTAGTTGAGTCATCTGGTTTGGCTTTTCTACTTTTGGAATAAGGCATATATTAGTATCGTTTAAACCAGCTGGTATCGTGCCTTGAAATAAGAATTGATTAACCATAAGAGTTAAGTCATCCTTTACTATATCCCAAAACTGCTGGTAGAAAAGGGCTGTCATCCCATCCGGGCCTGGGGCTTTCTCAGGGTGCATAGCAAAAAGAGCTAGCTTCACCTCCCATTCTGTGACCGGGCGTGTTAGATCTTCATTATCCGCAGGCGTAATTGTAGTAGTAACTTCAGAAAGTGCTTCCTCTATCTCCTCTGGATTTGATGATTGGAAAATGTTTCTGAAGTAGCTTGTAGCAATGGCTATCAATCCTTCCTCATCCTCCACATCATTCCCGTATGCATCTATCAGTTGAGTTATCCTATTCTTCGCTCTTCTCTGCTTCGTGAGAGCATGGAAGAATTTAGTATTCCTATCTCCTTCCCTCAACCAGAATACCCGGCACTTCTGTTTCCAAAACAACTCCTACGCCTTAAGAGCGTCAGACAATTCTTTTAAGGCAGCTGCAATCTCCTATGTGGTTGCATCATCATTTGAGGATAAACGGTCTACCTTTTCCTTAAGCTCCTCCACACTTTTCTCTGAATTCAGATTGTGTTGCCTTTTCCAATCACATAAAGCTCGCCTGCAGCTTGCAATATGTTCTGTAATACTCGCATCCGGTGGGAGATCTGGCGACTTCCATCCTTTAAGTATAATTTGCCTAAGCTCTTCATTTTGAAGCCATCTCTTATCAAATTTGAAATTTTTTGATCTTCGCGGCTTTTTCTTAAGAATATCAGCTAGGACCGGACGATGATCCGATCCCCACAATCTCATATATTGCACTTTGGTATGAGGAAACTTCTCATGCCAATCCTCATTGCCAACCGCCCTATCAAGGCGACATCTAACGGTAGAATTACCTGCCCTTCTCCCAACCCAAGAAAGCATGTTCCCTGTAAAGGGAAAATCCAGCATACCACAGTCACTAAGCATCTGCATAAAAGGCAAGAAAGAACTATCTGTGCGTTGTACACCTCCCTCCTTCTCTTCATGGCACGTTATTTCATTAAAGTCACCGATCATGAACCAAGGGCCATTTCTTATTGTTGAGAAACGCGTAAGGCGTTCCCATACTAATTCTCTTCGTTCTACAACAGGATCCCCATAAACAAACGTCATAAAGACTTTTATTCCATCAATGACTGCCTCAATGTCAATCATTCTGTTATTCGAAAATAAAACATTAACTTGAGAATCATCATTATAAAAAAGAGCTAAACCTCCGCTGAGACCAAGTGGCTCAACGGTAAGTAATCGATCAAATCCTAAGTCGGCCTGAATGTCTTGCAACAGCAGCCTCCTGTTCTTTGTTTCAGAAAGGAACACAAGTCCTGGGCGATGCTTCTGACACATCTCCGTAAGGCGTCGAACTGTGAGGTCGCTCCCTATGCCTCGACAGTTCCAACTGAGTGTCCTCATTGATAAGAGCGGGAGGAGATTTTGGACCCCTCCACACCATTACTCCTACGAGAACTGTTTGAACTCTTTGAGGAGTCCGCCCGTTGTGTTACTGCGTTTGACAAATCCTTAGATGACGACCTGCGTCCCCTTGGTGATCCTCGACGAAGGAACTCACCCTTCTTACTTTGTACCCCCATGGGAATCCGAGGTCTTCCTCCTCCTCTATGCGATGATGATTGTTTCGGCTTCTCGCGTGTTGCCATATCTACCCGTCCTCTATCTTCCTCCGTGCTCTGTATATGGCTTGCCTCCATTTCCAATAGTTCTTCACCTAGCAAATCAACACCCTCATCTTTCTCAACCGCCATCTCTCCGCCTTCCTTGCCTGTTTCCATGGCCTCAGAATCATGTAAAGCTCCTATGATCTGAGCATCCATCGGCACCAACTTCTCCGTAGGAGAGTAAGTAAGTAACCACGGAGTGATACGTTTAGTTACGTGGTCATCATGAAGCATCTGACCAGGACTTACAATTTGACTCAATAGTCTCTTCCCACTACTCCATTGGTTATCTGCTCTCGTATCCCCTTCTTCCTGAGCAGCCGAAGATCCATCATTGAAACAAGAGTTCAAACCTTGACCTGAAGACTCGTGCTGTGACTTAGACTCATGACCAGCATCAGAGTTGCTCCTTGCCTTCCACCTCTGCGTTGGGCCTGTCTTCTCATAGGGGACATACCTAGACCTTCTATGAGTTGGACGCGAGGTGATCTTCCAAGAATTATGTTGTTTTCTCACAGCACCATCCTGATTATGGCGATAAGCAGCCCGTGCTTCATTCATGAAGCCACTCTCTCGATGCTCAGGTCTCGCCTCATGACTCCGTCGTTGTGTCTGTGAGGGCGGAGAATTCATGTGAGAGCCGCTTGGTCCATATTCCAGTCTCTCCTTTAATCTTCGTTTATTATTATCCAAGTTGGTCTGATCTCGCAGCGAAGGCTGCCGGTTATCCTTGACAGTAAGATCATGAATCCTTGTAAAGACTCCATGACTCTTTGGAATGGGCGCATCGAGTGGACAGTATGCCATCTCGTGTGTCATCATTCTGCAGGTTTTGCAGTACTTAAACAATTTATCATAGTTGATATGTATCGAAACTTCATCTCCTCCCGGTGACGCAACTTTCCTGGTGAAAGTAAGTGGCCTCCTTGAATCTATATCGATGAGCATGCGGCCTGCGGAGAGATCAACCGTGTCTACATGCCCAAGTCTGTTTCCAATGTTTCGAAGGTTTGCAATCGTCCACAGATGAAGAGGAATGCCAGTGACCTCCACCCAGAAGGGGATAACCCAAGGGTAGTCATCATGAACCACCGGTTCCCAACGGACAAGCACGAACATACAAAAGTTATAGTGGAACGGCCCTTGAGCTAAGACAAATTTGAGATCTTGCTCATTAGAAAAGTTCAAAAGAAACTTTCCGTTGCCTAAGTCGTTGGCAGTGATCTTATCCTGCATCTTCCACTGTCCGGGCATGGTTTGGATCAATTTTTCCACAGTTTGCTTCTTGCGGTTTAGAATTTTGCCTATGCGTGAAAGCTTATAGTCCCGAATAGTGACAGAGGTATCTTGTTCTGTGAGTTGTATGGGCGCATCATCATCGTCGATGTCATAGTTGATATGTTTGCCTCTCACCTCTGCCGTATGAACAGAGTTTAAACGAACCATATCAGAATAGGGATCGTATGCGATCTGTTAGTCGATAACTTGGGTCGATACAAATCGATAAGTGATGTGATCTATCTTCAAAGGACGTTGATAAAACAATCTCTGAAAGGATCAGAGACCCGTGGTGTCGAGGAATTCCAAAGGTAGCGATGGCTTCCTCATAAGCAGTACTCGGAAAAGAGATAGAAAGAGCTCGACTGTACTAGCGGTAGCCGGAGAACCAGAAACACAAACAGAGATCGGATGCCGTGCTGGGAAAGGAATCGACAAAGATCGATCCCAGACGCAACAGGAACCACGCTGGAGTATATATTTAAGGAGTACAATAATATAAAATTAAATCATTGGTGTATGTTGGTCGATACGCAAAGTGTATATATATTTTTATATTAGCTAAATATAGATTTAGCGAATAAACCAATTTATATATTTAAGAAAATACAATCCAATCCAAAAGTGTATATATATATGCACTAAAATGACTTACAAAAAATGCAATAAAATGAACTAGGGTCAAGTCGGATTTGTCTCCTGTGTTGCATTGATTATCATATTACGTGTTTTATTAGCTTGATGTCGACAGACCTAAAATGATAAGAGTTTAAGAAAACTATATCAACAAATCCAAAGTACAACTTAATTAGATTAGATCTTAACTTGATCAATCCAGGATTTGAACAAAATTCATTTACAAATTTTCCTTATCAATGGCCGAGCTTAACTACCTCATGCATGTACTCGGATTTGTCTCCTGGGTCACTTTGTTTTTGAGAATAGATTTGTTTTTACTCGACTACAAGAATGAGCACAGCGTAGCTTTACTCCGCAAGGTACTTAAGAGTTCTTTTTAACTGTGAATCACAAGTTGAGATTCAACATGTGAATCAAATTATTACATTTCCCGAAAAGAACGAAACTAGTGAAAAGGTAAAAGTATAAGATTCGCCTAAAGTTGTGAAACTTCAAAAGTCACTCCATTAAATGAAGTATATTATTGCCGCTCTCTAATTCGTAGTGGACTCAAGAAGAAGCTGGAATGAAGCTGGAAGACAGATGCCTAGTCCGGTCACCAAATACTGGAATGCGTATATTTTGTGTTGAGAAATTTGAATCTGAAACAGTTAGATATATCAGGGAACGTAATTTCAGGGGACGAGTTCTGCTCTTTTGTCCTGCAGGTTTTGCCAAAGCTTGTATGGCTCAATGGCCAGAAACTTAGGAGTTAGATCATAGGCCAAGATTTTTTACTTAGTTTATAGATCATCAACTCCTCAAAGCTATTGGGATTCTCTTGGTGGTGTTTTTTTTTTTTTTGGTTTGTTTCTCAGCAATCTTGTTATATGACCTTGTATAATGGATTCTGCACTCTTTATTTACCACGTCAATATTATCTTTTGTATACTAACAGTGTGTATGCTTAGACAGTCCCTGTCCCATTAGTGTACAATACTGTCATCATTTATTTTAATCTTGAGAACCAAAGACAATCACTTTTACTAAACCAAATAAATTGCGGGGCTAGCTTGCACATATCAAAACAGAGACTACAAGGATGAGCCCAGCGTAGCTTTACTCCACAAGGTACTTGAGACTTATTTTTAACTATAAATCACAAGTTGAGATTCAGCATGTGAATCAAATTATTATATTTCCCGAAAAGAATGAAACAAGTAAAAAGGTAAAAGTATAAGATTCGCCTAAAGTTGTGAAACTTCAAAAGTCACACAAATAAATGAAGTAAATTATTGTCAATGACTTCCCACCCTCTTCTTCTATATATTGGACGATCTTGTCTCTCAAATGTCATCCCACCATTTCTCTTTCTTAAGACTCTCTCTTCTCTGTTCTCTCACACAAAAGAACAAAAACAATGTCGGGTGAAGGTCCAAAAGCCGATGTGACGGACGTTAACGTGGACGTCCATGCGGATCCACGTCGCAGCTGAAACAAACCCGCTGTGGCCACTACATTCTATTCGACATGTGTATGGGCGGGGGATACAATCTGCCTACAATATTTTGGGAAACCAGGTTCAAGTGAGCTATATGTAAAGAGGAGAAGAAACAGAGGAAGGAGGCTTCGGGAGAGGCAGCAGCGGAATGACAAGCTCAAGCTTCTTCCTTTCTCATTTCTCATTTCTCTGCACAATAAAGCTCTTTGAGCTATTTCATCTTGTTTCAATAAGCTCTATGAGAATCAGTGTGTCTCTATCCTTGTATTCCCTTGAACTTGATACCGGGGCTTTAGTTTGGTTCACACATCGTGTTTGTACGATGTTGCTTCTTGCTTTGTAACCTTTTAGATTTCATAATGAAAACATTTGTACGAAAAGCTTCTTGATCAGACTGTTAGCGTGGAGACTCCTCTTCTCACTTCTTCATGGCCTCCACAAGGTTCCAGTATCAATTTATCTGATTGGTTTCTTTCCCACTGATTATTTACTTTGACCAAGCTGTTGGTGGAGTAAGCTCTTCAACTGTCACGATTGATTCTGATCTGAAAGGAAATGAGGACCTTGTTTGGGAGCCAGTTTCGAATAAAAACTCTCGTGTGTGGGTTGCTTGTGTTAAATATATGAGTGCAGAACCTTTATGGGAGTCAAGGAACTTCAGACATAGAACAAAGCTTGTTGTATGTGACTAATATGGCTTCTCCTCTTTCGGCCAGACTCTGTTTGGGTCTCTTGGTTCAAAGAAGTCATTCTCAAAGGATCAGTTAGTAATTTCTTCACAATAAACCCTTCGCAAAACTTTTTTTGGTTAGTAAACAAGCTGTTGAAGATGAGGAGTGTCGCTTACCCTTTGATTCACCTTAGGATACAGAATGGAGAATGTGGCAGATTATGGATCGATAATTGGAGTCCTTTTCTCTTTTTAACATTCCAAATCATTTTCTCTTTCATCCACCTAATTTATTCAACATCCTCTTCATTTTTAACTTCTACAATAGTTTATTTATAAAATTTAACATCCTATCCCACCACTTTTAATTTATCCTTTTATCTTTATAATATAATAATTATATGTTAATAATGTTCTTAGTTATAATTAACTTAAAAACTAAAATAATATAACTTTCAATAAAATGAATGTTGAATTTTTGAAAAGTTATTATTAGAATTTATTTAACAAAAAAAGTTTAAAACATTAAAATAGTTAATTATAGGAAAAAATGACATTTTTTTCTGTGTCCAAATGATATGAGAGTAGTCTCTATTTATATCTTGTAAATGAATTTTGATATAACTTTTATTATTTAAAAATAAAAAATATTATATCCAATCAATTTACGCAACATTTATATCCAAAAAAATTTATGCCAAGTGGCAAATCTGGCCCACATAAAATTGTATCAACACTAGATTCGTTGTCCGCGCTACGCAGATATATTTTTAAATTTGTTACATTTTAGCATTTTAATTTTTATTTAAAATTAAATTTAAATATTTTTTAAATTTTAATATTTTCAGTTTTAATAAATTTAATTTTTTGAATGGAATACATTTGTATTAATGGATAATGTAGTTATATAATTATCACTAATATGCTATGAAATTAACACTATTTGTGAAATATATTTCTATTATATTTAACACAATTAACTAATAAAATATGTATAAAACTTAAATTATCTTACTTTAAAAGATCGGAATTGTGGTACATGTATTTATATATGCATCAAATTATATGAGCATCGGTCTATTTAATTCATGTAGATGTGTAAACGAAAATGTGATTTCAAATATAGTAACATTTTTGTGAACTTCAAATATATTTCTTACTGAGCTAACTATCATATGTTAGAAATAAATATATTTATTTAACTAAATAGTGTATATCAGCTTAGGTAAGGAGTTGTAGGATTTTGAATTCATTTAGTAATTAAGATTTTACATTTTCTAAGAATTGGAAACAAATTATAAATTGTAATAAGATGAATAAATATATCATTACGAAAGATTGTTGTCAATCAATAAACTATAAATTTGTATTTGTAAATGTTTAAATTTGTTTTTTTATTTTCTATCATAAAATACCAATAGAAAAATCATAAGCTATTTTAGTTTCAAATAATTTAAAATGCTTTAAACTCACAATTGTTATGCATCTCATTAAAAATTGTATATAATATGGTCAAAAATGGACTGCAACTTATTAAACTTTAGTAATGCTCACAATTGTATTTTATTTTTAACCTGAAACAATTAAATCCACAAATGATTTACACATTGTTAGTTTAGAATTATTGAGTTCACGTTTATAGGTCTTCCGCCTTCGAAAGGAAGTACAAACCTACAAATTAACTTGCTTCTTACTTGGTTTATTTCAATTGACAAATTAAGTTCATAGGTCTAACTAAGTTTTCAGCTAAGCAATCTTGGTTTTTAACATACATTTTGAAATTATTTTATAAAAGAACCTAAGAAATAAAAATCTCTACAAAAGTGTTAAATAGCGTTGGTGAAATCTCGGCAGAAATAAGGTAAATGAAATTGATTAACATTTTTTCTGACTTAAACAAACAATTATTTAAATCTGTTATTTTTTTATACCAACCCAAACCATCTTAATAAGTTGAGTTGAAATATCACCAAAACTACAAAAGAGTATTGTCTTCCAAGCTGGAGCATTGTTCATGAGAACACAATAAATGAAAAATAGGACACAAACAAAACCAAACCAAATAACAGCCATGACTGCCAATTAAGAATCACAACCTTCATCGCCACTTGTTAAATAAACGTTCTTCTTCTTCTTTGCTACTGTCTTTTTATTTTTTCCTTTTTGGTTGTAAAACATCTTATGTTTATCAGTAAAAATAACATCTAACATTTTACCCTTTTCGTCGAGTTCCAGAACATTACGTTTGTCATTGATAGTTGATACAAAACTATAAAACTATAGTAATTATGTGAATGCCACTTTATAATCAATCTTTAGAAATTATTAGTCAATCTTCATTTCATCATTCATTTTATTCAGACCAATCCAATATATGAT